AGCACACGTGTATCACATAAAAAAGAGATGTGGCAAAGTGAATTACCCACACGAGACGAGACATATATCGTCCATTCAGAGGAGCTGCCAGTCATCTTCATCTTCATGGGAACAATCCTCCGATTCACCAGTTACCAGCCTATTATAATAATCATGAGTCTCATTATCTCTAAATGCAACATGCTTATTGGCTATGGTAAATAACGGGGCACCATTTGATTGATCAATTAGTTCTGATGCGCGTTCACAAAAATCATCAAAGTCACCTGTCACAAAAATCATCAAAGCACAGAAATGCTCCAAAAAAAAAACGGAGGGTAAAGAAAGTAATAAAAGAAAAGTAAATTTCAAAAAAGAAAAAATTTGAAGGTATACATACTCTTGTCCCTGCAATAAAATCCTATTGCCAAAGATGAATCGATAGAATCAAGAGGAATATGTCTGACAACACTGCAAGTACAGTTAAGAAAATATTGGAATGATAACCCAGCATAAAATTAAAATGTAAAACATGATAAAAAAATAGTTGTTCAAATTTAATAATTTGATTTAGTTTATTACATTAATTGCTTTCAAGTAGATAGATACTTTTCATTGAAAAAGTACAGTCTCGAACAAGTTTTTGTTATAAAATAACAGGGGAACAGAGAATAATCTTAACTTACTTGCAGTGGTAAGATGAAGTATCCAAATCCAGATTATCTTTCTTAATATCAACTACCTGCCAATCAAACAATTTAACGAGTTTCATATTACTCACCATATAAGAGTTCTTACAAGCATCACAAGAATAGCAGCAACACAAGGATTTTTATATTTAGAGTATAATCACAATGATGAAAGCATATAAACAAATCATTGTAGTACCGTGAGAAAGAAACGTGCATGAGGAAATATTTTTATGAGAACCAACTGGTGCTCAGTTAAACTTTTAAACAGCAAATAGTGTTTAGCATTCATGTATTACACTAGTGTTCATTAATAAATTTATACATAAAAATAGTTTAAAAATATAAACATATAAGTTTTTATTTTAAATTTTTAAATATTTCTTAAAGTTGAATTATTTATTATTTTGTGTACAATATGGATGTCAAATCAAAGATCGTCAAAAGATTATTAGTTTTATATATCGTATATGAAAAACGCTAACAAATAAAAAGTTTATAAAGTTTCAAAGCACATTTAAATTTCAAGTGTTTTATGATTTTAAAAATCCTAACCTACATGGATAACTTCCGAAGTTACATCAACTATCCAAATCATAATATATTGACATATGGGACTTTGAAGCATCACAAATTTATAACACGAAAATAGCACTACACCACTCATATAAGAGCATACTGAGATACTTTTACAAGAGAAATTGTTGAACCTGTTGAACTTCATGTGGGTCCAGATAGAATGCATTTTCATCTTGCACTCCGAGTATGTATGTTGAGGCACCAGGTCTTCCACCCAAAATGCCGAGGCTTTGTGGAAATGTGAATGTCGCACTCAGAAGTGGGAGATACCTATTGAAAGGAACGACAAGGCAAAAGAAAAAAGTTACTAACAAAACCACACTGCAAGAGGATGTGTGGAACTTAAAGTAAATGAACAACACCGATCATTGAGAAGTCTAAATAAGTCGTTTCTTACTATTTAGACATATGAAAACCTACAAATGCACATGCATCACTCAGCATTCTTAGTGGAATATGTAAACTTGATTTAATCATCTTTATATTTTTCTTCAGAAATTGTTGAATTAGGCTTGCATTTATCACTACTGTAATCACTTAAATGACATTTTTTATCCATCATTTGCATGCGCATCCAGTTATGAGTTAATTTTAAGGATCCACACTAGAAAGAATAAACTTTAGCAACAGCCTCAATGCAATCATTTCTGGTGTATTTTTCAGATCTTTCACGAATAAAAAATGCAACCACTTTCTGATAGTAACATCTTCTGCGCTGAAATACAAGAATAATTTAAATTGATGAAGTAGCAGGTCACACAAATATATACATTTTACTACTGTAATACAATGAGTTTTTTCCAGTGATTCTGGGAGCTAACTACAAGGAATTGTGATAACAATATGCATTAAACTTTAAAGTACTTGAATGAATTTACTCGTATCCAGAAAAAAACCATCTTAGGAAATGCACACAAATTAGTTTTCTGCTTTCACCAGCAAATGGATATTCCACCTTAAATACAACCATTACACATATCTTCAAGCATCTATTGCCTGTATGGCTTATCAGCAAATACTCGAGCACAATCCTATAATAACCAAAATTTAACCTATGCTTTTTAAAATGTGCCAAAAGCAAATTGACTTGACTTATCAAAATATTGATCAGGCACCATGGTGGAATCTTTATCTCGAATAAGCAATTTTAAACAAATAAGAAGATACAAAAGAAAAAAGAAGCAAAACTTTAACCAAATATATTTTTAAATCCATAAGTTTTAGCATACACATACGTACCTAGGATTGACTTTCTCCAGTCCTAAAACCAAAGGAACCATCAAAACGACAGGAGCCCAATCAACTTGACTTCCTCCAAACTCCGAACAATGTCGAGCTATATGCTCAATACAGAGCACAGGAGCTCCACCCCTTTCTCCATCTTCATCACCAGAAACCACATATAAAGTCACCAATGAAGACAATATCCCACTATCTCTCTCCTTTCTCTTATTCCGCAACAAACTTTCCCATGTGCGACACATGGCATAGGGTCCCACCCATGATCCAGGGGCAAGACCATAAGCCTTACCAACTTCGAGAAGATTGTGTATGGAAAAAGGTGAGTCTTCCGCATCCCCAAAAAGATGCAATATTTCAATGTAATGTGGGTCGAGTGGCTTCAAAAGTAGAAAAAAAGATCAACACCGATTTCCATGAACTGGGCTCAAACAAGAATGAGTTTATTTTCATCCCCGAGATTTCAAATGCATGCCTAACGAATTTATGATATTACCTTGTGAGGAGATTTCCTCCATGATCTCCCTAATCTGTGAACAATAAATGCCTACAAACAGAAGAAATGAATAATTAAGAATGATAGATGTAAAATCTTCAAGGAAACAAGCAAAACGTACTAAACAAAGAAAAACAGCATACATTACTACCTGAGCAACAAGCATCTGACTGCTTCGAAGCATACACCCCCAGTTTATGTCGCTGGTGTACTTGGTATCCATAATGGGCGAAAATCCTAAAAAATGCAAGGAAAAAAAAAAAAGAACAACATTATAATTATCCATAATTCCAAAAAAAAGGTTAACCAAAAAAATGCAAACACCACACCTTTACGGTACGTTATAAGGATTCGGGACGAGAAATCCTCAACGAATTTCGCGAAATCTTCGCTATGGGTTGGATTAGATGAATCCTCACCTTCCTCGGCAATCTGATAGCGAACTCCTAAAATCCAGATGTCACTCTTGGAAGCCAGTTCACTTTGCCTGCTAAACCCTAATATTCTCCTCATTGATCCACCGTTCATCATTACCCGCCTCAATGTGGCTCTCCACACCTCATAATAGTTCCTCCCACTTTTTCCTTATGCTACAACTGCTGGTACAGAAATTCCTGGACTGGCCTTTCAGATGATTATTTATAAAGCTCCTAACTCCCGAAAATGGATATGAAGGATGGCCAAATTCAGACCAAAGTGCTGCCGGCTTTTGATGCAGTGCTGCCGGCTTTTGATGCAATGCTTGGTTCTACCTCAGGCGAGACAGAATCCGCAATCTTTTTGAGTCAATTATTAGACTAATTTTATTTTTTCAGAATTACGAACCTGATTACTTTTGCATTCACAATAACCCTTCATTCACTCATCATTGAATATCAGAAGTCGATAACTGGATGCGCATAAGAACCATTAAACTCAATTATCTGGGCAATAATCGACAAATCATGAATTACTAATATAACAGACCGTAGAGTTAAAAGAAAACAAAATTGCTCTTAGACATGTCTACTTTTTACCGATTGTACCCGAGCGCTACCTTTATGTAGCAATCTTTGCTTGGCAACTTAGCTTCTTCGAGAATTGAGAATAGCGTTGCTCAAATTCCGACCGATGCCACCGGTGGCGAGGGCAAATTTTGGAATGGCGACTCTGTAATTCTGACTGATGACGACGGGAACCTATACAATCCTTCAGAAAGTTTGTTACTGCCCAAACAAACGTTGAATTAATAGGCAAAATATACTTACGGTGACTTCCATTTTCATTGACATTATCTTCTCTTATTATTATTAGAAGAAAATATCATACACATTTTAGTTGAAAATATGATGTACTACATTTGTATTGATTACGGTACCTCAAGTTAATAGTACATTCTGTGTATAAACTAAACAGTACTTTTAGTCTAACAGGACCTCGCATCATTCCAAAGAGTAATTAAAATAAATTGAATAATATCAGGTTTAACATGTTTTCTTAAAATTAAATAACTTCATAATCTTGTAGCTTTCTTTAATCCAGATGACTCCAAGCGAGATAAGTTGCAACTTTACCAGTTGAAAAATTACTGCTCCTAGTTCGTTTTGTAAAAGTCTCTTCACCGTCCAACTTCAACCGATTCAGCACAACTTGGTTCATTTCTTACTCAGGCGTACAAGAGCTAGATTATGGAGATAGATAAAAATCATGACAATATGCTGTAAATCCAAAGTCTTTTTTTATTAAGAACTCAAAAGATAATTTGTTACACAAGTAATATTCTTAAGGGAAGAAAAAACCTTTTTAGCCTCTTATAATGGGGCAAACACTCGTACACACGTAAACTTGCAGAAATAAGATAAGACGATTACAACTTATTTTACTCACAACTTTCAAACTTGAAAAGAAATATTACTCACAACTCATAGGCTTATTACAAATTTCATTTGTAGAATGAGAAAATTGAAAGGAATGCTCGGTGCCTTTTGCTTTCTCTAAATCCTGTATTTATAGAGGTTTGAGGCTCCTCTATTATTGCTCCACTGACGGTAGGTGAGTGGAAATTGGGTGTATAACACGTTCTTAGGTCCGTCTTTTTCAATTATTGCCCCAGCTTTTATGTTTCACATGGTTGTTGTCTCCCTCGTCATAATCAATTAACTCAACTCATTATCATTTCCTTTTATTTAAAACTATCTTTTTGCCCCCACCATGTTCAAATAGACGTCTTGCTTTCTCCTTTTGATTTTTAGGAAATTCAGTTTTGTTTTGTTTTTTTACTTCTCATTTTCTTTGAATTTTTTCTCATGACGTATTTATCCTTCTTTACTGAAAATCATTTTTCAAATAATGATCTTTCTTGATATTCACAACTTGGACACAATCGTTTATACCATCTTCTGACATGCATCATGTTTCACGCCTTTTGTTGTGTATTCTCGGTAGCCAACAACTATTTTTCAATAAGAGTTTCCTCGTACTTTCAAACATCTCGTTGGCAAAATTTAGAAGTATGCCATGTTATGATGTTAAGTAAGAAGGTTCCATTTGGAGAGTTTTGATAAATTTGAATTGGATATTTGACTTTATCCATTTATGTAACACACACCATATTCCTCATGCTCGTCTTGTTGAAATTTTCATCTGGATGAATACAATGGTGTCGCCTTAGCCGCTTTAACATAACTTAAAGTCTTCTTATTTGGTCTTTGTAGCTTCATAAAATAGAAAGCATGATGCCATCCATTTTTACTTATTGTTGCTAGACCTATAGATATGAATTTTAACACCAGAATTTCACAACTTTTTAAATGTGGATTGTAATATCATGACTCGTGAAATGCATTAACAATCCAATCTGGTAATTTTGATATTTCTTTAAAACTTGGTGCAATTGTGAATACAAACGCCAATGAAAGTTCATCCATTTTTAAACTCGAATGGGTCATACTATTTCAATTGTCCAACCACGTGGATATTTCTGAATCATGAACGATAAGTTTTTTAGTCTGGACATCTCTTCTGGTTATTAGATATCGTATCTTTTGATTATAGTACTGCTAATGATAGGCACGATTGTTAATATCAATCTCCGTTCATATGTGATTAGAGATTAATATTTTCGCCATTTACCCCAAAGGCATCGTGTTGACTCGAATACTCCACAATTGGTTCCCGATGTTTGATTTTTTTTTTTGCCTTATACGAGGAGATTGGAAGAGAATTTGTGCAAGAAAGTTTGCTTTTTCAAGTTGTGAGACATTTCTTTGTTGTTTTTTTCTTTCTGGTTCACCGATGGTGATCAAACCTTAAGCGAGTATTAAAAATATATTGTGGTTGACATTATTGTCAAGACTTGATGAGAAGCCTATTACCATTAATATTAGTTAGAGTAGGCCAGACGCTCATTACCCTAGATTAGGTTATTTGTGTTAGACAGTTATATATATATCTTGTATGCAGATTAATAAAAAATATACACTTTTATGTTTCTCTATCTCATTCTCTCTATTATTTTATTATTGTGTTTTGTATCGAATGATGAATATTTAGTAAATATTAAAAAATTCAATTTAAAATAATTTTAAATATAATTTTAATACCAACTCAAAATTTCGTTCAATACTACACTCATTTAATTTTATTCAAAATTAATTTACTTTGTGTCAAATCAAAATCATTTTTTTTTTACAATGTCAATGCAATTTGTTCGAGATGGGCCTATTGGAACATAATCAGTCGCTACCCGCAAACGAGAAAACGTGAAAGAAAGCAAACGACAGAAATGGAGAATTCCTCCCTATAAATAAGCTTTTAGGGCACGTCCAAGCTTCCTACCCCTAGCCCTATAGTCCAGCTTTGTACCTATGGAGGAGTCTGTATTTTCCCCTTAGGTTTTTCAGCATTTTCTTCAATTTTTTTCAAGAAAATTAATGAATACAGTTGATCTATCTAGGGTTAGGAGGTGGATCGTTGCAGAGTGGTAAATTGATTGATCGTAACAATCTAAAGATTAGGGTTCCTCATTTTGCCGCCACTGCCTCTACATATACCGTTATACGTTACATACAAATGTTTATTTTCTGATCTGTAGAAATTTTATTGTTTTCTTGAACTCATTCTCAACCGGTATACGCAAACAAAAACATATTCAGTTTTGATTCAAGATTCACCTTTAAAAGGCGATTAGGCGTGTCGAATTTGGATATTGAATTTTGGTCCTTGAATTCTGGAATTTGGATCGGGGACTAGGATCCGTTTGCTGGTTATTTGGATAGAAATTTTGTAAATTCGAAAAAGAAGCATTTTTATTGGGATAATATAATATTGGGTCTGTTGAAGAATGGATAAGAAGAAGGTTGTAGCTCCATTAGTTTGCCATGGTCATTCTCGGCCGGTTGTTGATGTGTTCTACAGCCCTGTAACGCCTGATGGGTTCTTCCTTGTCAGTGCAAGCAAGGGTAATTTTTTTTGTTTTTTAAACTTGGGATGTTATAACTTTTTATCAATGACATGTTTCTTTGATTGGTCTAATGATATTGATGAATCATGTGAAAGAGTTATTGTTTTCTGGCTTATTATGGTGTTTTTGTTAGCCTCATATATATGTTTTGAAAGAGTTATAATGCAAATGTATTGATCATGTTTACCCTCGTGCAACTTGTGACCGTGCTTAGCTAATTATTCTTCTTGATCATTATGTTGGAGCTAGGATGCATACTTATTTATGGTCCAGTAGATAACACATTCGAAAGTGATTATAGATTGACTTGAAATACTGGCATGGAGAGAGAAAGATAATCTAGATAAAGTAACTTTTAAGTTTGAGGATTTTTTACTTCTTTGGTTTTTTGTATAGCTCCTAATTTCCAATTTAGCAAGAATGTCTTAAGGAACTCCATTAATATATGTGCTCGAAAGATGCTTTTATGGATAGTCGAGTGTTAATAGGTGGGGACATTTTTTCTGTTTGGCTGCTGCTGAAAGGTTAAGTGACAAAAATTGTACATTTAATGTGGGCAGGCGGTGAAAATCATAGCAGAAGTTTAACCTTGATTTTTTATCTTTTTTTTTGGATTATATAAATGCTTAAACAACTTGTTTGGTGAGATGAAAAATAGTGCCATATCTAGTGATCAATGCTGTAAACAATGTTTTGCGTATGCCTATCGATTGGTTGGAAATAGGCAAGCATGTCAAAGAAAAATGGTTTGACCATAATATATTCATATTGAAATAGCATATGCCTATCGATTGGTTGGGCAATAGGCAAGCATGTCAAAGAAAACTGGTTTAACCCTAATATATTCATATGGAAACTTTTTCATGGATTGAGATCATCTGCTTCCTTCTTTCTGGACTCACGCAACAATTTGGATTATTTATCAACCACAAATTAATGTTGTTATGGATAAATGTTTATTAATTGAAATTGTTCTTTCTTTGTCTGGAGGTTAGGTCTCATTTAATTACGCCATTGTTATTCTTCTCATGTTTTAGGCCCATTTGTACAAATTGTTACGTTACCTGATAAATCAATGGCAATTTGTATCAGCTATATCTGACTCGATATTGAGACTTTCAAATGTCAAAGTATTCCAACATTTAGGAAAACCTGGGTTAATTGGTAATCATGAGCTTGGAGAAGTATAAATGTTAGATTGAACATTGTCTTCGTTTTGGGTTCGTAGACAGTTTAAATGATTGTTTACCTATGATAGGGATATTCCAAATTATATGCTTAACCGTATTATACAACTTTCAGTTTTATTTCGATTTTTATAACACGGACCAGTTTGCACTTACTCTCTTAGTCCTCAATATGGACCTCATGCAGTTTAAGTTATATACGCTTGCAAATGACATGAATTGGAAATTTTTATATAATAAGTGATTCTTTGGTTTAATACATGTAATAAGAGTTTGCATCTCCTTTCAGATTCAACACCAATGTTGAGGAATGGAGAAACTGGCGATTGGATTGGATCTTTTCAAGGACATAAAGGTGCTGTGTGGTGTTGCTGCCTGGATAAACATGCAATGTTTGCTGCCTCTGCATCTGCTGATTTCTCTGCGTATGTTGTCAATTTCTCGCTGTTGTTCTTTCTATGTTAATATTGAATGCTACTTGAGTTTGCTCTGATGGCTACTATCCATCTGTGCGAAGTTTGTTAACTGCACGTAATATGCCTTTACTGTCCTAATTATGTCGACCTGCTGCAGGAAAATATGGGATGCATTGACCGGTGACGAGTTGCATTCATTTGAGCACAAGCACATAGTCCGTGCTTGTGCCTTTTCAGAGGTACTAAATAACTGATGCAATCACTCTTGATGAATGTCCTTTTTCTTTTTTCTTTTTTTTTTTTGTTATAGATATTTTTTGAGGCTGTGTCTTTGCTTCTGTTTTTAGAAGTATTTTTTCTGGTCATTTTGGACTGTGTAATAGTTTTGGACAGACGAGTTCTGAACTTGGAAGTTATTTTTATTTCCTTTTATCAATTGACAGGATACCCACCTTCTGCTAACTGGAGGAATGGAAAAAGTTCTTCGCATATATGATCTAAATAGGCCAGATGCACCTCCCAGGGAAATCGAAAAGTCTCCTGGTTCTGTGAGAACTCTTGCTTGGCTGCACAGTGATCAAACAATCTTAGGTTCCTGTACTGATATGGGTGGGGTGAGGTATGTGGAATTTTCTTTTTTTTAATGATTTAGGCAACTTACACTTATTCACTAGTCACATTCATTGCTGATGTCATCCTCAGTTTTCTTTTTTTCCACGATGTAACTCATATTTCTTTGGTTAATTTATTACTTTCTAGTATATATGTTTCCTTTTTTCTCACATTTGAAACTATTTGTTTACAGTTTCCCTTCATTCTCATTTTTTTTACGCTTCTGTTAAACCCGATATACTAAACTGTGGTTGGCTTTAGGTTGTGGGATGTTCGAACTGGCACTATTGTTCGAACACTCGAGACCAAATCCTCTGTAACGAGTGCTGAAGTAAGTCAAGATGGCCGCTATATAACAACTGCAGATGGGTCGAGTGTTAAGTTTTGGGACGCAAATCAGTATGTCGAATTGTTAAGCATAAAATGAAGTTATTTTTTATTGGCTTTGAGCACACGTTTAACTTGTGGGTCTCTTGTTGAACAGCTTCGGATTGGTAAAGGGTTACGACATGCCTTGTGTTGTTGAGTCAGCTTCTTTGGAGCCAAAGTATGGTAACAAGTTTATCGCTGGTGGAGAGGACATGTGGATTCGTGTTTTTGATTTTCACACAGGAGCTGAAGTTGGTTAGTCGGCATTTATTTTTCTTTATTTATGATGGTTCTTCTATTTGTCATACGGCATTAAAACAAATACCTGGTTGGAATTTGCATTATCTTAAGGCGTCGTGGATATAAAATTTTTCCATTCAAAATGGATTTTTTTGGTTAATAAAATAATGTGGTATAGTTAGGTGTTACTAAGATTTTCTGTTTATATTAAAATATCATTTAAAATAAAATAATTAAAGTTGATTTGATGTAAACGTAGGAGAGAGATAATGTGAAGTGATGGTTAAATTATGTGAGTAGATGAATAGTAAATTAAAGTATGTGATATGTAAGAATGATTGATTGATATTATTTAATTGTATTGATATTATTGAGGATAGTGAAGTTGAGTTAAAGTTGAGTTAAATTTTGAATTGGAATTGAGTGTCAAATTGGAAATTTTTATTTCCACAAGATTTTTAGTATTTTGATTTTCGACTACTCTTTTGGTCACGTGTAGGCTGCAACAAGGGACATCACGGTCCAGTCCATTGTGTACGTTTTTCGCCAGGTGGCGAATCATATGCTTCGGGATCTGAAGATGGAACCATTAGAATATGGCAGACTGGGCCAACAATTAATGCCGAGCAAGAATCTTCGGGTGCTAATTTATCTGAAGTTATTACAAAACAGGTTGAGAATGTGCACATCACAAATGAAGATAAGTTGGAGGCTTGCTGAAGCTGTATTTTTTGTGATCTTCGTTTTTGTGTGTTGTAGCTTTGTTTTTCTTGTTGCCCTGACTCAGCTGCAGAGGGTTGTAAGGGTGGTGGGGTAAATGTTACTGTGATATTTTTATCTTTTGGAATAAAGATAAAAAGCTTATTTCTTTTTTTTATATGGTTTATTCTTTTTATTGATTGAATGTGCCTTATTTAATTTTTTCATGTGCACTTTCACAATTTGCTCCCTACTTACTAGACAAGTATCCATTACCGATTCATCAAAATCAACAATTTTGATTTTACCAACACAGAATTCGGTAAAAGTAACTACTTAATATGTTACTACTTCAGTATTTTTTGAATTTCAAGGGTGAATGGTTTGTATGTTTCCATTGTTCATGATTGAAATCCTCAAGTGATTATTACCTAGATCCATTCGCATGGCAAAATCGCGAAAAATGATGGAACTTGAACATGAGAGTTAAATTTTGACCAATTTTAGGAGGAAATTTCATCCTCCTATGGTAGATATCTAGTAAGTCCTAGAAAGAAAGAGGTACATATACTAGAGACAGCTTCAAACCAATGCATCAAAATCACACCCATAAGGAGAGATAAACTTGGTCTCTCCTTTTTGGGTAATAATAATTACAGGAAAAAAAAAAAAAACAAAGTAAAAGAATACTCATGATGAGCATGTATAATGTAATAACAGACTTACTAACTAGTGGATAATACCCTAATGGCTTTGCATCTAGGATTTTGACAAAAGCCTTGTTATGAAAGGTGTAATAGCAGCAAGCAATGCTTTCGGGCATTCCTCGTGTGGAAGATGGCCACAACCCGATATAGCTACCAGCCTCTGCAAGAAAGATACAATGACAGTCGAAAATTTAAGGCACAAAACTAATTGAAGAAAGTGAAAACAGAGTTAATAAGAACTTACAGAGTTTACAAGTTTCGAAGCCATAGCTTGAACTGATTTTACAGGGACAAGGAAATCTTCGGCCCCAGCAATAACTAAAACCGGCAAATTTACAACAGCCTTCAGCATGAATGCTGCATCCTGTGGTGACATGACCGTTTCGTAAGATAGTTTTCCGATTTCATGGAGTGCTTCATCCCAACCTTCAACATGTAATGGGGCCTGGTTTTATTTCAGAGCAACAAAACAATAAAAATTATTATTGAAATTTATGAAATTCATTAAATGCATCCCACAAGCATCAACGATATTAATTTCATAATATAATGTGTGTAGACGAGAAGCAGCAGTGGAACAATTTTTTATTTTTTTCTGACAAAAAAAGAGAAAAAAAAAAAAGCAGTGGAACAAGTTTAAAGAACTTAATTTGCTAGAACGAATAGGTAAGCAACACATTATGGGGTGTGTGAGGCAAGGTGTAATTCGAGAGAGGGTAAAATTTTTTTACCTTGTATAAGCTCAAGACTTCAGTGGTTAGTTTGGTTTCATCGTACCAAGCACGCCGGTTCACGAGTTGAGTAATTTCCATGCGAAGGAGAGGACGCAACAAGTGCTTTTTCCCGAGCGAAGTTCGCAACAATATTCTTGCAAAGGCAGGAACTAATTCTCTTGACAAGCTTACATTCATTAGTACAACCCCCTTTACTTCAAGCTGAGACAAAAAAAAAAGAAGTATCTCTCTTCAAGTTAGAGCCAACTTTATTTTTTATTTTTTCTTTTCATCTTTATTTGTTTAGGGAATCAAGGTAAGGATATATCCGCTACAGTGGAATGATAGCTAAAAATAATCTCTTTGTTATGTCGTGCCAAACGAAGAAATCATACATGATATTGATATGTAATGAAGCATATTTCACATATGACATCTGGCATTAATGTGCTGCTTTATAAAAACTTTCTTTGAAGCTATTGAAGATTTCATCATGGTTAAAAAGTTTTTTAACAGTTGCAACACACAAACAATGTCTTTTGATATAGAAAAGCATCTCCCATATAAAAATCCAGAATCTTCTGTCCTGGAAAAGTGTTTGATTAAAAAAGCTAACAAAAAATTAGAGGTTCGTTTATTACATCTGAGAAAATATATAGCACACTCTCAGAAGCACTCACTTTAATGGAATTTGCCGATAACTGGACCTTTTGCGCAGCCTTCAAGGCAAGCAAACCTCCATCATCATGCCCAACAAACACAACTGAGGAGAAGCCCATGTCAGAGCAAAAGGAAATAAGCAGGTCCACCTGAAAAAAAAAGGATAATAGATTGCTCAGAAAGACTCTAAATTGAACACTAAAGATATATGCCAACAAGGTCAGTTGACGAAGGGCATGCCAACCTCACCAATCGATAATGAAATTCTCTACATATGGAATTGATCAAAATGATGTTGATAAACTATTATCCAAGTCCAGCATCTCATAAGATATAATGACGTTGTCCAGCTAATACAATTTTTCTGGTTCTGGTTATGAAATTTAAACCATAATCTGGAAAAACATAATCTAGAGAGGACTTCCATAATTTGTCATAATTTAGTGCAATTAATATGTGCCATGCATATAGCCAAGACACCGATCATGAAAAACAGAATTTACAGGAAAAGACGGCACTAGTTATTAATATTTGAGCTCTAATAATTAACATGACTGACATGTCAAAACAGAATTTAGATATCCAATATCTGATCTTACATTAAGGAAATACATAATGATGCTTCAATTATTCTCTATTAGACATTAAGGGGACACTTTTTTTTTTTTACGAATACTCACCTGATTATCAATCTTGTAAGGATTATTCAATCCATTTCCCTCCCAATCCTTCTTTCTTGGCCTCGACGTTAAACCCCACCCAGGCCTATCAAAAGCTGCCACAGCACAATCCATTTGCCTGGCCAAAACGCCCATCACATGCCTCCATGAGAACACTCCCCCTCCAAAACCATGTACAAGAACAATCCCAAATCGTTTGTTCGCCTCCAAATCCTGTTCTATCAGTTGAGGCCCCATTTGCCTTGCCTCATCATCCTCCATGCGATTTTCATTCAAGCTGAAAATGGGCATATCCTCGGATATCTGGGAAGCTGCTGGTGAACTGGACAAAAGTGGTGTATAGATTGTGGAGGTGCTGTAATGAAATTGATTACTAATGCTCCTGTGGATATTACTACTACAATGGGGTTTTAGTGGTATGCTAACAGAGGGCTGATCGGAAAAAGTATCCGAGAGGATTAGCTTGTAATGTACTGTCAATCCTGTCTGAAAAATGAACAAGCTGTCTTTATCAGCGAGTAAACTAACTGGAAGTTCCCTCTCGTCGTGCATTATTAGCCTTGGTGCTTTCCTCCTTGTTGAATCACTGTTGCATCGAAAAGATTTTCCGAACGATGGAATCGGTGACCTGGGGGCCTTCTGGTAACTGGCAAGTACCATTTTGCAAGAAAGGGCCTGATGATAATCAAGTGTAATGGAGTTAGCAGAAAGTCAATGCAGAAAAAAGGATGATGAATTTGTGTTAGCGTTACAGTGCTTCATATTGGCATAACATAATCATATAATCGAATTATAGTGCTTTGGTTAGACTTTTGCAAACAAGTAAGCACTGGTATAACTTATTAATGATGTTCTCTTTGAACATAATCAAGTTGAAGATTCGATTTAAGATCATCACTAATTCCCCATTCTCAGCTACATATAAGCCTAGGTCGCATTAAATAACTTCTTCCAACAGCTTTCTTCTTTTCCATTTGTTTTAATTTGGTATAAATGTGTCATGCTTACGTAAATTTTATAAGACTATACGAGAGTGACATTTAATTTGACATCCAGTTATATCTTCTAGATCAAACCAACCAATTCTCCTAGACCAGATATTAATAATAATCACAGGCAAAAGAACAGGTTTGCGTAAGAGAGAAATTTCATGAACTTACGGCTTCCGGGTCAAATCGTTGAAGGATAATTTTCCGTCTAGCTTTGTAACTTGTGCGATAGGCCACGACAATGTGGCCAAGAGCAAATACTACAGAGGAGAGGAACAAGACAGGCATACCCCAAGACTTCTTCAAATGGAGCCTCTTCCTTGAAAGAGAAACTGAAGCTACCTCCTCGAGTTGAGAATTTACGGTGAAAACACAAGCCTTGAAGGAAAGTAGCAGTATTGAAGCTAAGGAAGAGAACATCACAGTTCCTAGATAGGGTCCATGCGAAATTGATTGTCCATCACTAACTAAATATGTACCTGTTTACATTTAACAAAGGAAAATCCATAACAGGGAGGAGGTTAGTTTACAATTTCAAGCAAATTTTCATAAGATTGCTAAATTCGACCAATCAAATACAATCGCGTGAGACCAGGAGCATTCCCCATATCACAGATTAGTTCAGATCGAACAATTAAAGGTTTGTTTTGCTTTATCCTAGAATTGTTTATGACCTTACAAGAAAGAGATTGTAAGAAAGCAAAATGATATTTCACACTTGCTTTAATAAAAAATTACATTTACCAAGCAAAAACAGACGGCCATCAATTCTAGAATAACAATACTTTCAGCATGAGCTTATCAATAATATCAGTTCTTCTCAACTGGGCAGAAAGGAAAAGGAAAGATAGAAGCTCAAAGGGCATAGCAAAAGCAACCACACACAGATTTACAGACAAAAGAAAACTCCTTTTTTATTATTCCATAACTATTACTGCATAACTCTAGATCCTGCAATTTTGGGCAATTCACAAAGAGATAATTACCAAAGAAAATGGAACAAAATTGGAAAACTTAATAGAAAAATTACTCACAGGTGATGACGAAAGATCTGATTATCGAAACAATAGGAATGTCAATAAGCGAGCTTCTAAAAGAATATCTCCGTAAATGCTCCCGAAAGCCATAGCATTTCACGCACGTGAAGCTCGAAATCAGCAAGCAAGGCAAAACGGCGTCGCTTACAGCCACCACAAGCGGCAGCGCCATCACCAGAAGCGACGCCGCCATCACCACCACGAAATACACCGTCCGCACGCCCCTCAGCCCTTTCTCCCGCCACCAACCTCCCTTCATCACCATCTCCCTTTTTTTTTTAAATTTATTTCTTCAAATCCCTTTTCAACAATCAAATAAAAGAACCAAAAATCAAAATGGAGAAAGCAATGGTTTCAAGTGGAGCCCCTTGCAGTGCGGCTATGGCGGAAAATCAAAATCCTATTGGGAGATGGTGACGGCGGCGTAATGGCCATCTGACAGCGCCGGCGATTGACCGTTACTAACGCCACACAATCAACTGCTACGATAAAAATCAATAATTCGAAATTCCTTCAAATTCTTGTTTTATCCTGAATTTGAAAAAATAATTCAAATCAAAATAGGTAATGATGACGCAATTTCTCCGATTCGTCCTTCACATCGGAGTTCTCTTCTGAGAGAGAGAGAGAGAGAGAGAGAGTTTTTGAGTGTGAAAATAACTGAAGTTCTTCTTGGCGACGAGGTCCATTCTGTTATGGCTGTACTCATAATGCTTTTTAATTTTCATTCGTTTTTATTTTTAATATTAAATTGTTGCATGTGAACTATTGAAGATAAAAATATGTGAATTGATATGACACTGAAAGCACTGGCAGGCATGATTTTTATTTTTTTATACTCAATTAAAGATTATATGCAATAAATTGAATAATTACAACCAATTAAAAAACTTGGTCTAAAAAAACCAACTAGCATTGAATCGTAACACAACACATACGCAAAACTAAGCAGATCCATTAAAATAATCTAGTATTTACTATTAAAAGATTATTCATAATTATTTAATTTTTAATTTTCACATAACCAACATGTAATTAATCGTTTAATGTAATATTCTCACCTTCTTATTATAATTGTTGTAATTAATAAAATGATATTACTTTCTGTCAAACTCCCTCATTAGAACACCCACAATACTTCCAAATTATTTACTCTATTTCTTTCTATGACTTTAACTATCTTATTTATCTTTTGTACTCAAATTTTTTCCTTGTATACAACATGTTTCATACATGCAATGGTAAATAAGAGTATAAATAGTAAAAAATAAATTGTTCAACCTACAATATCATCTTAGTGTTTTAGGGGGTGATTGTTTATGAAATAATTTGTTAAAAACGAATTATTTTGGTTAACTATAATTAATTTTGAAAAAGGTAGTATGGTTAGTTGTTAGTGAAATTTTAAGAATGTATTATAATAATATTTAAAATAAAATAATTAAAATCGATTTGATGTAAAAGTAGGAGATAAATGATTTAAAATGATTGGTAATTAAAATTTTATGAGTAGATGAATAATGAATTGAAGTTGATGTGATGTGTAAGAATGATTGGTTTGTATTATTTAATTATATGAATAATATTAAAGATAGTGAGGTTGAGTTACAGTTGAGTTAGATTTTGAGTATGAAATAAATGTGAATGGAATAATTCATAAACAATCAAGCCCTTAATATCTTGTTTTTCGTGTTATCTGATTTATATTATCATAAATATGAAAAAAATCCAAATATAATTATTTATTTTTATTATTTTTCAGGCCGAGTCTCAGATTGAAAAGTATTGTATCTATCGTATTATTTATTTTTACGGGTATTGGCACATTGTAAATTATTTATTAATGGTGTATGTATCAATTATTATATTATGTTATTAGTTAAAAAGGAAAAAAGTACAACTACCGCATGCGCCACTAAAACGGGGTAGACCATAAACTTTTGATCACTTTTGCCTTTTGTATATCCCAAAGATATAGAGACATGTACCCTAACTTTGTATTTTAAATATAACTTTTATTTGGAATTTGTTACTTTGTTTTAATTTTCTTTTGTAGATTTAGTTATATGATTTCCATCCAAGAAGCAAAAAGTCAAAAAGTTATGGGGGGAAATTCCATTAGAAGGCTCAACTTTTTGATATTGTATTAATTTAAGGCTTGAATTTTATTTTATTTTAATAGAAGACCTATATTTTAGGTTATTTTCAATTTAAGGCTCACTTTTTAGTTAATTTTTCATTGTAAGGCCCAATTAACTTTATATTTTGATATAAATATGTGAACCAATTAACTTTATTTAATAATATAGTTATGTGAACAAAAATAATTTTTTATTTAATTTATATTTTACATATTTATAATAGATATCTTTAGTAATATTTACTTAATAATATAGCGAAACTATATAAATTATATTTATGCAAAAGTTTAATCATGAATAATTTAAAAAAAATGATAAGTGAATTAAAAAAATATGTAATGAAAATATTATTTTTATTAATAATATAAATATGTAATAAAACTATAAAATAATATATAAATGCAATCTACAACAATATATCATTTTCAACAAGCAATGACATAGTATCAATTAATTTTTATTAATATAATTTTACTAAAGATATTTATTATTTTTTATTATAAGTATGCAAAATATAAATTACAAAATAATAATAATAATAATTTTATTCACATAATAGTTATTTTACATATTTATATGAAAAGGTAAAGTTAGTTGGGCCTTATAATGGAAAGCTAACTAAAATGTAAGCCTTAAAGTGAGAATAACCTAAAATATAAGTGTTCTATTGAAAAAGTATAAAATTCAGGCCTTAGATTAATACAATTACTAAAAGTTAGGCCTTCCAATAAAATTTTCCCAAAGTTATGGCGCTAAATTTGCATAATATACTAGAGTACTACATCAATGCATTACATTAATACTAATAGAAAATTTACACAAAATAATAAAAAAATGAAAAACAACTAATTTTGTTTTAAGTTTCAAATAATTCATACAAATTTCGTCATTATTTATATTTAAAATGATACTCGTGACTTGTATACATTTACCCATGTTGTGTTATAATACTTCTTTTAATTTATATCATATATGAAAATCTAATGATCAATTTAAAGTTATTGATCTTCAAAAATATATTTATAATGTAAGTTAGTCAAGTATTTTATTGTTTTAAATGTCTTAATAAATATGAATAGAAGGCAAGATTTATATGGACAATTTCGAAACGCCATAGATATATAAAATTAAGTACCTAAAGTAGACATATAGTATTATGAAGTTAAACATTAAGGTAAAAAAAATCTACATTTATATATAGTAGAGCTATTGAATGCAACGAATCGCTCGTGAGTTTGGCTCGACTCAGCTCGTTTGATAAGCGATCGAAGTTCGAGCTCATTGAAAGCTTGTCTAATAAGGCTCAAAACTAATATTTTTTGTATAATTTTTTATAGTTCGACTCGTTTTAGGCTCGAATTTGATCGTTAATATTAATAAATGAGTTGAGATCAAACTCGATTATTGGCTCGTTTAGTTAACAAATCGAACACGACTTGACTCATTAAAAGCTCGAGCTTGACTCGTTTATACTCCTATAAAATTATATGGGAATAAATAATACTATGGACTTTTTTTTTTCTCTATATGAAAATTTTGTTGAAAACTATCACTTTTGCCCGTTTGTGAATCTGAAAATCAAGCACAATGTAGCTCATGGCTCATTGTTGAGTCGGTGAGGAAAAATTTCATTACAAGACCCAATTTTTTGAAATTGTATCAATTTAAAGTTTGAATTTTATTTTATTTTTTTTTCATTAGAAGGTTTAAATTTTAGGTTTATCTCAATTTAAAATTCACTTTTTTATTTAACTTTTTAATGTAAGAGCCAACAAACTTTATATTTTGGCAAAAATATGTCAACCAGAATAATATTTTTTATAATCTATATTTTACATTTATATGGCGAAATGTTAATTATATTTAACAATTAACTTAAATAAGAAAATTAACACATATAAGTTATATTTATACAAATTTTTAATTAATTTTACTTTCAAACAATTGATAAGAAAATTTAAAATTATATAATTAAAATATTATTTTTATTAATAATCTAAATAATATTTTTATTCATATAATTATATCATAAAATAAAGTTAGTTGAGTCTCACATTGAAAAATCAAAACATAAAATCGAGCCTTAAATTAAAGATGACCTTAAACATAATTGAAGCTTTCTTGAGTCCAAAGTCGGTGACGCCAGTGGGGCCCACACATAAAACCGAGGGACATCCTCACCTATTGTCGCCACGTGTCTCTCCATCACGGCTTGTGTTGCGGCGTTTCAAATAGCCCGTTTTAACTTTTATAGGAACGGTCATATTTTTCGAAATAGCTTTTGTTGTGGAAATTCAAATGGTGGGATTTATGTTTTTACACAATTATGAAAATTGTTGTTATTATATATGCTAGCATCTAATAATCTGATATTTTTACAAAATGAATGATGATGGACTCCCTAGTTTTTTTATTTATTTTATTTTATTTTATTTTTATTTTTATTTTTTGGTTGTTGTAAGGTCCACTTCATTTATTTTTTCACTTTTATGGTTGTTATATTTATACATATAAAGAAATATAATATTACCTCTTAACGTAATAACTATACAATAATAAATGGAATGATTTATAACTGATTTATGAAAAGCTGAAAATGAAGTATGACTGTCCTACTCAGTGCTATTTCTAAAGCTTGTTCATCAGCTTTTTTATCTCTTGTAGCATTCCTATAATTGGCTTGTGTAAGAATTAAATTATTATATAATACAAATGGATATATATAGTTGCACATAATTTGGTCTGAATAAGAGTGTATATTCTCAATGGAGTCATTTGAAATATTTATTAAGTGTGACCTCACTCATGTGAATGTATTGAATAACCCAATGTTATAATAAACTTTTGTACTAGCAACAATAATCTTCTAAAGAAAGGTTTGAAGTTCCATATTACCCAACTTGGTGGTTGCATATCTAGCTTTTCAGCCACATGTTGTAGTATGTAGAGATGTTAAATCAGTTAGTTTTTTTATTAACTATTAAGAATCCTGTGCGATGCACAGGAGAGTATTGTACCTTAGAATATTTTTTCAAAATTTTATTTTAACAATATATTAGTCTGCTGACCTATTTACATTAATATAAATAATAATTTAATATATATATATATATTTATTTTTTAATACAGAAAAAATAATAATTTTACATATTTTGGTTCATCATAATACTCAAATTTATTTTATTAAAAAATTTATTGTCGTATAATGTCATTATTATTTATAACACTTAAAAAGTAATATTTCTTTTATATAATGATAAATATTTAATGTATATTAATATTATTTATTGATCTAATTAATTTAAAAATATAGAAGCAAATTTAATGTTTGTTAGGAATGTAAGTTAAGATAAAATGAAATGTATCCAAAAAATCTGCTTATGATATTTTTCTTTAATGTTTGAACGAATTTGAAATTCAAATTACAAACCAACCGCCAGTAATAAATTCAAAGATTTTTTTTTTTTTTTGCTTTGGTAATTATCATTTAGAAGAAT